ACCCCCAAATATAATCCATTCTGCAACCCTCATTGCATACTCCTACGATAAAAATAATGCCCTAAAATATAATACTTTTAGACTATTCTCTCCCGCATAGACTTCAATGCCATAAGCATATTTCATCCAGTTTTTCTCAATCTTACCCCCACCCCAATGCCAGCCTCATTCTGGTTGGTTATTTTTTAAAATACCTTACGTTAGAGAATGCATTTTGCATTATTGTGAAAGACTTACCTAGCTCCAACACTGATAGCTGAGTGAATTTGACCATGCGCCATGTAGTGCATATTCTATTCATTCCACAAATGTTGAAACTCCATAATGGAGGCAGGTAGACTTAGCAGGTTATTATACTGGCCTCTATATGGCAACAAAGACTTACGCTAAGGAATGGACTAAAATAAAGCCAGCATTTAGATGTTGTTTTGTTACAACAGTGTTTCATTTCCCAGGATTTAAAAAAGTGTTTGTTAATGTGTCTGGATCAGCTTCCCTCTGGTGTAGTCCATAGGGAGTTGTGTAGCTAGCAGAGGTGCTAGAAAGTCTTGGTTATTTGTTAAATAGTTTAGGAATAAGTTTTTGGTTTGTAAATATTTGAAAAAGTTTAGCATTTATTTTATTAACACATTAAACAAATATTTCTGTAATTGCATTTATACACTAGTACACATTGAGGTACATAATGATAAATGAGTGTCAGTAAAACACATATAAATAAGACAAATGCAACCTACACTAGGAATTCCCTCTAGATACATTATTCTGTTTCTTTAAAGCATAGTGCTCAGCTTTTAGCATCTAAAAAAGTAATCATCATCCCTCAGCACTCATGAGTTTCACAGGAAAACCTCCATGTATTATGCCCAAGTTCTACAAAGGCAGAAGTTTGGAATTGTTCCTTCACTCGTTACCTCAGTTGCTTCAGATAGCATGCTGGGTATATAGACAGTAATAGTTCCTGCTTCTTTTTTGGGCTCCAAGAGAATGTTTTCTTTGTACTTAACATGCTCGTTTAAAAGGATTACATTTTGTTCAGTGTTTTTAGGTGTTTTGTGTAGAGAGACTTTTAAGTTACTTGGAATCTCCTTATAAGCAATATTTGGAAAATAGTTTCAACAAAGAATATATTGCTATTTCAGGCTTATTGCCTGTTCCCCACCCCCCAAGCTAAAAGTGCTATTTTAATCTTTTAAAGTTTTTTAAATTCACAACAGCATTACTGAAATTTTATTATATGGTTAAATACTGTATGACAGTTAATTTTTAAATGAATCTTCATCTAATGAGATAAACTAAAGCCATTTCTGTGCATACTGAAAAGTACCTTTTTTGATGTATAACTTAAAGGTACATTCTTAGATTTTTCCTTAACCTGTGAGAGTTGTTAAGATTGCATTGATAAAGATTTAAAAACCAGCAGAATAGACTTAATAAAATTGTGTTATTATGTTACAGGCTCAAGAAAAAGACTCAGAACAAGGAAGAGAGAGGTATGTTTTAAGTTTTCAAAACATTTCTGTAGAATTGCTAGATTTTATTTGAATATTTTATAATAATTGTTCATATTGTCATCAAAAAAGTTATTATTATTGTTTATGTGTGTACCATCAAATCAGATCTTTCTGGTACAGGAGGCAATTGTTCCTCCTCCTGCAGCAGAGCATCTGGTGGATTTGACCCGCACACCCCTGGGGTTGCAGTGCAGCTTCAAGATTAAATATGTAAATAAGACTTATATTTTGTTGTGTTGCTGATGCAACTTAAAAAAAACTTCAAAAATATTTCAACACACTAATTAATCTTTCTGTACAGTTCTTTTGTCTTTGTTAACTTGAAAAGCACTTAATGGGTAAAATTCAAGTTATTTTGGTTTTGTGTTGGGTTCCTGCTCCTCTGGTTGCCTCAGATATAATGCATTAATGAAAAGCTTAGTCTTTAAAATTGTACCAGTTGTTGCCCTGAGAAGATAGGGGTTATCTTGCTCTCAGAACACTGTAGTTGACTGTTTCCGTGCATATTATGATACTTTCTACGGGAAAATGTAGTGGAGTACAGTAATAGTGTAGAAAAATGTTTTATATTGTCAGAGATGAAAACTTGTGCTTCAGAATAAGCTGACGAGCTCTGGCCAGATTTAACTTCTCACTTCAATGGAAACTTCCCTCATAGCCACGTCTTCTCTTGCCCCATAAGTCAAAAACTCTGTCACTGTACTTTACTTAAAATCACCGATTAAGAGTATACTTTTACCATTAACACTTAATGATGGTCCCATCTTTCTAGGTAGAATATTGAAACAATTTTAAAATATTTATTTTACATGCTGTTGTACTTTAGGAAGTCTGAAAAATTATTATTACAGGTTTTTTATTCCCCGTAGTTAATTCTTACAGAAAACAAGATAAAAATTACTTAAAAAATACTGATAATTTTAAGTAGCAGATTTGTTAAGTACCAGTCTTTTTTTAAAAGTTGATTTTTATACCAATCATCTACATGTACTGGAAAAGAAATCCCACCAGTAGTGTTTGATAATGAAGTCCCACGGAGCCCAGTAAGGAACAATGTCTCATTTAGGACTGCAGATTGACTGCATAACTCTGAAGCTGATAAGTAAATAGGTTCTTCCAAAAATCTGCTGTATAGATCTTATTTGATAGGTACTCTTTTTGATCTTCAAAAATAACTACTACAAGTACTTTGGCTGTCCCTGTCCCCATCAATCGTCCCATTTCCCCATCCACCCCATCCCCACCCCCACCCCGCTTCATTTGTTAGATACTTTTCCCTAAAGTAATAATTCAGAATGAATTTTCAGATAGTTATCCAGCTATCGCAAGTCATTTGGTTTAAGTGGATTCTGAGAAGAGAAAATACTGTGTGCATTTAATTTAAGTGCTTTTTGGTAACTGCATCATTAACATCTTTTGGTTCTAGTGTAAGTGATACATATTTGTTTTATGTAAAAGAAATCTAATCGAGTACACACTCCTCATTGACGTGGTGTTGGTGGTTTTGTTGGTATGTGCTGTCGAGTTGCCTGCCACTCATCGCGTCCCTCTGCACAATGGGACCTGTCTTATTAGCATCCCTGTCCTATTCTGAGCCTTACTGTCTCACATACGTGCTCCTATTACCCCCGTACCTGTCCAGGATCTTCCTCTCCCACATTGTTATTTCACCCTTCAGTCTTTCTATCCTTCTGTTGGGAACAGCATGGTTAGGTTCCACATACCAAGTCATTACTCAAAAAAGTAATCACACACAAAAAAAATCACATCATCTTGCCTCCCCAGCTTCCCCATCTTCACTGTGAATGTCCCACTTGCCTCTTCTACTTTTTCTTGTATCCTCTCCTACATTACCTCAGGAGGTGGCATACCTCCATCACAGGCCTTAGATCTGCCAAGGACTGTCCTGTCTTTGTAGCCAGGGTGCTCTAAGTGCTGCTCCCTCTTCCCAGCACAGGGATCTCCTCCTGTGACCTTCCCTGTGTTTTTAGACTAGGTGTGCGCCATAGCTCCTTCTGGTTATGGCCACGTTAGTCTCTGCCATCCCCTGGGACTGGAAACTACTGACAAACTCTAGGGCCCCTCTTCATTTCTGGCCCCAAGGGCAGCCCACATTCAGTATACTGGCTACTACTCACTGGGTCTTACCCCCTGTTGACACCCAGAATTGACCAATCCTACTGTAGCCCCTACTCCCTCCACTTTGGCCAGCAACTCAGAAATACTGTACCTTTCCCCTTCCAAACGTTGACGTAATTAAGCAGTAGTTCCTTTCTTCTTGCACAAGAGGTCACAGTCTGCCAGTGAGGGACCTGGGCATGTTGCTGCCAGATTATGTTGTTAATGTGCAAAGTAAAAATAATTGGATACTAAAGGGAGCTCTGGTGGCCTGGTGATGAGAAGCTGTGCTGCAATCCCAAAGGTGCTCGGTTCGAATCCACCAGATGCCCTGCTAGAGAAGGATGTGCAGTCTCCTCCTGTGCCATTTGGATCCGATTTGATAGCACACAATACTGAGGGTCGGGGGTGGGTGGGAGTGGATGTCGATACTAGACACTCCTCATTTACGGTCAATTTTATTATCAGGTATTTTGTATAATATCTGCCAGATATTATACAAAATACCTGATAATAAAATTGACCGTGAGGAGTGTCTGTATATGGTAAGTTTTAAGAGAGCCCATGTGGCTGGCGATCATCTTGATGGTGTCAGGTGAGGGAAGTTTCTGGGGTCCTTTGTGGTGTGTTACTGTTCTTTATCCCCCCTCAAAAGTGCGTGGCCCTTGGGAGCCCTGCTTGAAGGTGTGGATTTAAAATCTTATAGGGCCCTTGGTCCAAATTTATTAATACTAGAATAATATTACTTAAAAGACATAGCAATCATTTGTCTATTTGCTGTACTGAACAACTTGGAGTTACTGTGATGCTGAACACTATGCCATAGCCTTGTCAAATAACCATAGTGGTTACGCATTATGTACAGTGGTTGGATGAGCTTCCAGATTGATTCATGTTGGGAAGCAGAAGTGGCATCTACTTCCTAAACTAGGTGCCTCTGGAAATGCTACAAACTCTCTAATAAATGTACAGAAATGACGTTAATTACAGTTCAGAGTTCAGGTCTTTTGTGCAAAGCTTACTCTGAGTCATATTCGACTCAACAGCACTTAACCACTGCTAAATGGGACTAGTGCTGTTATATTTAGAGGAACATTTTTCCACTTTGTACATCACTCTTTGTCAATGTGCTATATGAGGTAACCTAGGTTTGTGATGCTGTGCCTTGTTCCGTGGGGATATCAAATACATCAAATACCAGAATGGTTTCCCGTTGTGGACAATGTTTGGTGGAGCTTCCAGTTGTAAAACAGGCTTGGAAGCAGGTGTGGCATCCACTTCCTAAACCACGTGCCTCTGGAAACTCTATGAACTTGGAGAAATGACAATAGTTATGGAAAGGCATTAGGTCTTTACTTCATACAGTCACTATGAGTCGTGCTTGACTTGACGGCAGTCAACCACCACCACCACCCCTCTAAACATGAACAAACACAAATAACCAAAATTTATTATGTATTTTGAAAGTATATATACAGATGTAAGGATTAATGACATTTCATGAGTTCATTAATAAGTTTCATTGGAAGTTCCTATTGGCCCTCTAAAATAATACTTACATGTTGCTAAGTCTTAATCTAACATTTCTCAGTGTATGTAGTGTTGTGTTAACCCCTACTCTCGTGCCCAACTTTTCATTGTATACCTTTTCTGAAAGTAAAACTGGAATAGAGGCATGTGGGTATTAGATATTTCTGTAAGTTTTAAAAACCTGAGGTTTTCTGTTGAACATTAACTGAATAGGAGAAATGGAATTCTACAGATTTCCTTCTTTGGGAAAGCTGTTTTTCTGTACACAGAATTACTTCCTGGAATCGTTTTTCATGCCAGTAATTAGACTATGTCTGTTTTGGTTTGTTATTTTAAAGATTGGTTACTTAACCTTCAGTATTCATAATGTCACTTTATGGGGGCGTCTCAAACTGCATTCCCAATGTATCCTGGCCAGTACAGCATTTTTTCCCAGAGTAGCCAAAATACAAAATAGTAAGGTAATAAATTGTTGGTGAATGGTTTCTATAAAGAAATAATTCTTATTGTTGAGCACCATATAAGAGTTTAAACTGTTTCTCCCGGTAGGTCTGTGTTGTTCTATGATATGCAAAATTCATAGGGATTGATTATGTGTGTGCGTTTATTTGAACTTTTTACTTGGTTTGAGTGAATGTTCACAGAAGATAATATTTTTCCATTTAATAGTTTGTATATACTTTGGGTGGTACCATTGGCTGTCTTTTGTCTTCTATGTAGTAAATGATGTGTGTTTTCGGCCTGGAATACTAAAAGTACAAAAGGGAAGAACTACCTTGAGCCTGGAATCGAAATGTCCATTGTTATTTTTCTAATCTCAATGATCCCCGGCCCCTTGAAAATACTTTAGGGCTAATATACAGTTCAGTAAATGTTTACAGAATTTCCATTAGCATTGACTTATTTTGAGAACGAGTATTCACATAAGTGCTGTACGCTACCAGTGAAACACCTTTCTTTGTTATACTTTTGCAGTTTTACTTTGACTAGTCCTTAGACACAGTAGCACTTGAAATCATCCAGTAAGTGGTTTCTGAATATGAGGGATGTGAATAACTTCAAATAAAACCTTCACCCTTTTCAACAGAAAGTCGCACAAATTAATAAACTGCATATTGATGAAGGGTTATGGTTACTGAATATTTAAAATTGATTCCCTAAGTTCTTTGCCTTGATACTGTCCTTAAAGAATGAATGATTCTTCTTAACTTCTTAGTTCCCCCTCCCCTTTTAAGAGCTTGCTTATACTTCAAAACTCTTTGAGAGAACAAGTTTCTTGTGGCTGAAGTAATTGGACCAGTATAGTAGTATGTACTTTTTTCTAAGCTTATGAAATTTAACATCTTAGAACATATCAGATAGCATTATTAACTAAAGATTATAAATGGCCATTTTTTCCTAATGTATTGTTGTTACGTGGCACTAAACTGCTCTGGTTCCTAGTGACCCTGTATACAATGGAGCATTGTAAAACATTAGTTACCGTCAAGGCCTCCTCCTTTCCTTCTATGAAAATAGAAAAATGTCAGTACTTACTACTTTGAGGTTGAGTTGTGACATGATCAATTTCAGTTGTCATCTTCCTGCTGCTTGACTATGTATATATATTTGGCTTTTTATTAGCATTGCTAGCATGCTGGACATTGTTTTCAGAAAGTCAGATTTGTCTTTTGATTTTTCAAGATAACCTCTGATAGGTGGAGGTTTAATGTAAAAATTTATTTTTTTCAATATGTCTCAGTGAAAAGATAGAATTATAGAATCAAACTTGGTTTATTTCAGAGCTTAGATGACCATGATGTGATAAGGTCAGTTATGTTATCTGAATAATTTTAATGTATACCTTTTAATGTTTAAGTATCATAATAACAACTTGTTGGAAAATGAAAAGAAACCTAACAGCAATTATGATTTGGAGTATAACTTTTTTTTTATGGTACAGCATTTTTTTTTCAAATAAAATATTGCTGAATATTAATTTAAAATTACTGGAAGATGATGTTAGTAGGGATGTGACAATCCTGAATTCAGAAGAGGTCTTAGAATGAGGGATATCATTGCTGATCCCAAATGGATTTGGAGTATAACCTTTTCCTACTTTGCATTTTAAGAAGGTTCACTTAGAAAATTTTTCGTTACAATTATGGATAATTAGTTTGTTGTTAGAATATATTTACTGTTTCACTTACCACTCTGGAAAACAGGACCTTGCAGTTTGAGGGGTCTGAGATTGAAAGTTCACCTGAAATTTTTATTGATTATGTATTTGTCAAGACACTTTGACCATTTCATTGCTGATTGGCTGGATTTTCCATTGTTTAGTAAGAAATCTTAAAAATTGGCTTCAAGAGAGTTTTTTTTAATAATGGTTGAATTCTCATCATAGTTTGATTTTTGTTTGTTTTTAAATACTTTTAGCCCTGACTTGAAAAACAATCCAGTTGATGAGAATGAGGTGCAAACAGCAGCTGATAGTCCCTCTGTTAAACATGATGAGGTTGAAGAAGAGTCTGCTTCCAGCATTCAAGCAGAACCTTCTGTGCAACTGGAAGAACCTTGCGAGGAACAGCTTGAAAAGACACTTTCTGACTCTGACTTTGCTCTTGTACCATTGGAAGTTGAACCTCAGGGGGAAGAAATCAAAGTAGAAATTCCTCTGGTGGCATCTACTCCAGGCTGTATTGAGCTATTCACGGAAGATGTAGAGGAGTCTACTTTAAACCAGCATGTGTTTTCCACTGACTTTGAGAAAGAAGAGGCAGAAATTGTTAACCCTGAAACAGATTTCCCAACGTCTGACAGTTTGTTTTTAGAAGAAGGGAACATAAAGGAAATTCTAGAAGAATCTCCATCTGAAACAGAAGACTTCTTCTCTGGAATTACACAGTCTATGGTTGAAGCTGTAGCTGAAGTGGACAAACATGAGACTGTTTCAGAAAGAGTGCCGTCTGCTTGTGTTGTGGCCATGGTACCAGGAATTTCTACTGAGGATGAGACTGTGATGAGCAGAAAGGGAATTTCAGAAAAAAGTAGCTTCAATGAAAGAGAAGAGAGTGAATTCAATACACTGGATCTACAGACAAGAAGAGAGGAGGTTGAACAGAGTGAAGCTGAAATGATTACAGAGAAATTGGGAAAAAATGTGGAAGTGATGAAAGAAAAGCCTGTGGAAAACACCATAGCCAAGGCACACTCAAGTAAAGGAGGGGCCCAGGCCAGCAAGTCTGACGAAATGAGTAAAACCACTGTGTCTGCTCTGTCCAGCAGGAAATCACCCATCAAGGCTGCCCTTGTCTCCTCTCCAAGGGTAAAAGCTACAACTCCAAAATCAGAAAACCAGAAAAGTTTTCTAAAATCTGTGCTCAGAGATCAAATAAATGCTGAAAAGAAACTTGCAGCCAGGGAACTGGGTTTCCATAAACTTCTAAGTGCTGGATCAGGCATGGCTGAAAGCAGCAAATTTAGACTCGCTCAGAGTGGTGGTGCCAGAGTTGGAAGTGGAAGGTTCTCAGCCCCACAAGGCAAGGCATCTAAACTGGATTACAGGGATTCTAAACAGTCTCAGGAAACACCAGTGAAATCCTCCGTCATGAAACGGGATGACAGCAACAAGGTGAGCAGGGTAGAAGATTGGCTCGGCTGCTCTGTGGAGTAAGAGGTCTACTCTGGTTTCACACTTCTATCTCCTCACTCCATCCCACTTCCCCAAGTGCCCATTTCCCTTTCTTAAAAGATGCCGTTGATATAAGAGCAGGCATTTAGAATATTAAGCTTTACTTCACATTTTATTAGCAGGTTTAAAAAGCATTACTTGGTCAGAAATCTAACTTTGTGGTTGAAATGTCTGCAGAGAATTTCATGATTTAATCCATACTTCTGAATGAGAAGCAGATTTCTTATTTAGGGGACTCTTTAGCTGATCATTCAGTAATTAATTCATTCTTTATAGGAGAGAGGAGAGAATACAGTGGAATGTAACTATGCCTTTTAGAGACTGCATATGCTATTTGGTGATCATTAGTTCTATAGACTCAAAAAGAAAATGTGATTGGATCATGTTTGCTATTCTCTGGGGGGTTTTAATGAATTTATTTATTTTAAGAAGAACAGTGATCACTGGGCTGTAATTTTTGGGTGGTTTTTGTTTTTTAATGTTTCAGACTTCCGTTGGGCAAAATACTAAGAATTCTAAAAGCGCCACTGGCAGAAGTTCCAAGTCTAAAGAGGTAAGGAACAGTTGCCCTCTTCTATTACACCTCTCAAAATATCTCCGATGCCTAGAAAGTAAGAACAAGGGACAGATGAGAACCCAGGTTTTACAATACCATTTACTTTAGCATTTAGCTAAGCTAAATAAGTCATTACGTTCTTGGTGGATATGTGAAAAAAGTTAAGAACGGAAAATGAATTTAAAGTAGAAAAACACCACCGCTCTCCGGTTGATAGGACCAGGTTATTCAGGAAAAATAAAATGATGTGGTGGAGAAGCTGGCATTTGACTGCAGTGCATTGTTCTGTGGCATTGCCACCACATCAGGTGATCCTTTACATCTGGGTTCTTGGTACAAGGGATCTTATTAGTAGCTTCAAAAATGAAAGAAGAGATTGTAGTTGCTTCCATTAATGAATGCTTACAGATTTTGCTGATGTGTTCTAACGTCATAGTAGTCTGTCTGCAATTTACATATTAAATGTGAGGGGCCTGGTGAGAATTTGTCTTTGCTGTTGACAACAGTTTCTCAAGTTCTAGATAGAAGTATAGCTATATACTATATATAAAGAAGCCTTAGTTTTTCATACAAGTAAACGGTTTCTTAGCATCTTATATCTAAAATGTCTTTAAATATGACTTGGTTATTGACACAATCTAATTCACAATTTACATTCTGTTAATAGTTTAACAAATGCTTTCAATGATATTGCATGCAAATTTATTGAGACTCTTTAGGATCTAGTCAGTAGTTAGAAGTAGTTCTCAACAATGTGTTTCTAACTTTCCAACAGGAACCATTATTTCCATTTAATTTGGATGAATTTGTTACTGTGGATGAGGTTATAGAAGAGGTTAATCCATCTCAAGCCAAGCAGAATCCACCAAAGGCAAAGAGAAAAGAAGCTTTCAAAACTATGCCTTCCTCTCCACTGAACGTAAAGAGGAAAAAAGGAGAAAGTTGTGCACGCCATGTTGTTGAGGGAGAAGTGTCTTTTGTCACATTGGATGAAATTGGAGAAGACGATGATGCCGCTGCACCACTTGCACAGGCTCTCGTCACTGTGGACGAGGTCATTGATGAAGAAGAATTAAATATGGAAGAGATGGTGAAGGATTCAAATACGTTGCTTACATTAGATGAATTAATCGACCAGGATGATTCCATTTCCCATGGTGAACCTAAAGATGTTACTGTCCTGTTGGTGGCTGAAGAAGACGATCTTCTCAAACAAGAACGCTTGGTAACTGTGGATGAAATTGGAGAAGTAGAGGAGTTACCTTTAAATGAGTCGACAGACATCACTTTTGCCACTTTAAATTCTAAAGGAGATGAAGGAAATACTGTAAGGGATCCCATTGATTTCATTTCTTCTCAGATGCCGGAAGATCCTTCTACTTTAGTTACTGTAGATGAAATACAAGAAGAAAACAACGACCTGCATTTAGTGACTTTGGATGAAGTCACTGAAGAGGATGAAGATGCACTTGCTGATTTTAATAACTTGAAAGAGGAACTTAATTTTGTAACTGTTGATGAAGTTGGAGAGGAAGAAGATAGAGAAACTGACTTAAAAGTTGAGTTAGCACACATCAAAACTGATCCCATCGGTCGAAAGGTTGACAGAATAAAGAGAGGTGTGGGTCCCAAGAAAACGAAGCTTCCTTTGTCCCAAGTGAATCAAGAAAGTGAGACTCCTAAGGGAGAAGATCTAAAAGGCATGGTTGAAAGCCATTTTTCAGGTGGGTGCTTAGCAGTGTAGGTTTTTCTTTTGTAAGTGATGTACATTTAAAGTTAAATTTACAAGAAGATCGACAATACTAATAGTTTTATGCTGTATTAATATGAGAAGCTGTATGTTTATAGCAGTAATGTTTTCCAAAGAAATGTGTTAGATGTTCATAGATTCATTAGAGTAGAGCTTGCCCCAAGTTTTATTAAACAGAAAAAGACAAACAATCCAAGTATCCGTCAATGAACGAATGGATAAAGAAGCTGTGGTGTATTCACACAATGAAATACTGTGCAGCTCAGAAAAACAAGGAACTCATCATGAAGTACTATGCAGAATGGACCCTGGGGAACATTATGCTGAGTGAACTATCTCAGTCACAAAAGGACAAATATACTGCATAGTGCCATTGTTAAAAAACAGGACTGACATGGGGGTGGGGGGAATTATGAAAAGAGGGGATAAATAATGTATACTGCATTGAAATGCAATCAAGATGCATTGATAATAATGGGTGACTGGAATGCAAAAGTCGGGAACAAAGAAGATGATTCAGTAGTTTGAAAACATGGACTCGGTGACAGAAATGGAGCTGGAGAGAGAATGATCGAATTTTGCACAATGACTTATTCATAGCAAATACATTTTTTTTAAAGAGACATAATGGTATGCATAGGAATCAGATCGATTACATCTGTGGAAAGAACTGCTGGTGAAGCTCAATATCAGCTGTGAAAACTAGGCCAGGAGCTGACTATGGAACAGACCACCAACTACTCCTATGCAAATTCAAGCTGAAGCTGAGGAAAATTAA